TGCCAACTTGGGCCAGTGAAGCAACATCCTCCACAACTAGACTGAAGAACAAAAGGACAGCAACTTGTCTGTCCCCCTTCCCCCAATTCCCCAGCGCTGTTCCCATCCCCCAATTCCCCAATTTAAAAAATCTTAAAAAGAAAAGAAAAACAACTCTTATTTCAAAGAAAAAATAATTTAAAATATGTAGGAATAGTTTCATGGTATAAAACACTTTCTCATCCTCCACCCCAAAATCTTCTGGAGTGCTGGATATAATAAACTTGTTTTAAGCCAAAAGTCTTAGGTTGTCTATTATATGTTAACATGTAATTTTGTACCCAAGCTAGGAAATAGGCTAATAACCTCTATAACTTGAAAAAATTTTAATAACCAAGGCCACTCTTAAAATGTTACATATATCTTTTAAACAGGACTTGATAAAACTTGGGACAGAGTTTATGCAAAATAATTACATTTTAAGATTCTAGGCTGCATAAACTTAAAAGAATAGTATCTTAAGTATACTATTTCTCCATAATTTAATAGTATCAGGGTAACATTTGCTACATACTTACTGTTAGGCCCTGAGCTAAATGCTTGAAATGTAAGAAATCTAAGATGCCCCACAAGATAATGGTGATTGTTATTAATATTCTCTTTATGCTACAAAGTAACAAGGAATGACTGAGCAGGGTGTTTGGAGCCAGGCTTCTGCCTTCAGAGTCCAAGCTTGGTCTTCCCCTGTATACCAAACCTCCACTGCCTGCTGCTTGGGTGTAATGTATGAGGTCTGTTATGGCAAGTAAAATTTGAATGTGAATCCTTTGGTAATAACAGTGCTTATCTCAGCTGACATTAAGGCATACCCTGATTAAACATTGTGCATGTTCACTTGGTACTGACCCTTAGGGTAACAGAAAAGCATTCACAAAACATATTTAAACTTTCCAGGCTATATACCCAGACTTTTAGTTGGCGGAATCATAAGGAGACATTTCCATCTCTGGAACCTTAATAATATGGCCAGAGCATCGAGTGGTTGAGAGGAAAAAAAACTATGTACAAGTTTGGATTTAAGTCCATGGAAGTAGAATATAGAAGGTATATCTCTATCAGATTTATAGAACTTTTTGGCCTTTGATTCTTTATCCATTAAAATTGGGAAAGGAGAAGTAGGAGAATGATTTGTTCTATTTATTTTTTAATTGGCTCTAATTTATAGACATGAAACTTGCAAAGTCCAAGTAACTATCTAAAAACAGCAAAATACCTGAAAATTCAATGACACGTAACACATCTATTATGCCTCCCTCTTACAAACTGAAAACTCAGTAAGGAGGGAGGCTTATTTGCTGTGTGGAAGTGCTGTGTGCAACTTAGCTACCCACCATCAGGATACATATAGTGTGGTATTTCAAATTACAGATTTTTTTCCTCTCCATCAGATCACATAAGAGAGTATACTTAAGCCAGTCAATTGGTCTATCTGAAAAATCCTCGTGTGATTTGGGAAACACTATTACCTTTTAGGATGAGACGGAGAGCCATCTGGCTTTGAAGAGATGACTTCTCATGAAAATGTCCAATGCAAAATAGTAACTGGCCTCAGTGTAGCATAAACACCAGAATTCTAATTCCAATGCCTTTAAATGCACTGTTATTTGCTTCTAATAGTGGTAAGTTGAATATGTGTTACGTGTGTGGGTGCACCTCTCCAATGTCAGTGGCTGGAATTTAAGACTAAGCAGATTAATCAAAAGCATAATACCTTTTTCAGGTTCGAGAAAACAACTATACCTATGAATTTGATTTCTCAAAAGTCTATTGGAATCCTCGTCTCTCTACAGAACACAGCCGTATCACAGAACTTCACAAACCTGGGGATTTCCTATTTGATGTTTTTGCTGGGGTTGGACCTTTTGCCATTCCAATAGCAAAGAAAAACTGCACTGTATTTGCCAACGATCTCAATCCTGAATCCCATAAATGGCTACTGCACAACTGTAAATTAAATAAAGTGGACCAGAAGGTAAAAGTCTTTAACTTGGATGGGAAAGACTTCCTCCAAGGACCAGTCAGAGAAGAGTTAGTGCAGCAGCTGGGACCACTGTCAAAAGAAAGAACACATTCTGTGCACATTGTCATGAACTTGCCAGCAAAGGCTATCGAGTTTCTCAGTGCTTTCAAATCGCTTTTAGATGGGCAGCCATGCAGCAGTGAGCTCCTTCCCATAGTCCATTGTTACAGCTTTTCCAAAGATGCCAATCCTGCTAAGGATGTTCAGCAGCGAGCTGAAGCTGTGTTAGGCACTTCCTTGGATGCATGCAGTTCAGTACACCTAGTAAGAAACGTGGCCCCTAACAAGGAAATGTTGTGCATCACCTTTCGGATTCCTGCTGCTATCCTCTACAAGAACCAGACCTTAAATCTAGGTGAGCAATTTCTGGGAACTTACACGTAAACTATAGTACCTTTCATGTAGCTTTCTCAGGCTATATATATTTTTATATTATTTATTAAATTTGGAATAGGTTAAACTAATAACTAGTTAGATATTTCAGTTTAAGACCCCTTGCCATTTAATTATGACTAGTTTCTCCCAATTTTACTAATTTTATTATACACTGTTCAGTCTGGTAGAAGGCTATTTCATTAAAATAACTCCACAGCAATGTTACTATTTCATGTATAAGTTGAATAGATTAAAAATCTTTAAAATGCCTACATTATTTGTATTTTAAAGTATTTTCAAATGTTAAGTATCTTACCTAATACCGACTTTCTGCATTTGTTACAGAGAAGCATGAAGAACCACCTCTTAAACGCCAGAAGACAACTAAATCCTTTTCAAAAGAAAAAACATAAATTGTTTAAATCATGTAACTGAAAATGTTTTCTCTGTCTCCCCACTAGATCATTATGTAGTGAAATATAATTTGTATGATTTCATAAAATCTTAACATTCAGTTACTTTAGTATTGAACTGTTATATTTTACCTTTGCTGTCTTATAAATTAAGGATTGTCAAATTAAAATTTAAATGAAATAAGTCTAAACATATTTTACTTAAGTTATAATATATACTTTTATAATCTAAATTATATCTTAAAATTATATCTTAATTTTTTTATTAAATACATTTAAATATGTCTATCTCTTGGGAAAATAGTTTTTGAAGGTAGGGTAATTGCTGGCTAACTAGGAAAGCACTAGTATCATTTTATGGTTATCCTTAATTGAAGAACGTAACTTAAGTTTTGTATAAGCACTCCTATACTGTAACTATAAAAGTAATAAAAATGAGATTATTTAGATCAGGGATAGGCAAACCATCCCCAGTAGGCCAAGTCTGGCCTACCACCTGTTTTTGTATGGCAAGTGACTTGAGAATGGTCTTACATTTTTAAATGGTTGATAATCAAAAGAATAACATTTTGTGATGTGAAAATTATATGAAATTTGACTTTCAATGTCCATAAATAAAGTTTTTGTTGCAATACACCATGCTCATTTGCTTACATACTGTTAATGGCTGCTTTCATGGTATAACAGGAGAGTTGAGTAGTTGTAACACAGACGGGCTATGTTGCTAATCACACTACAAATCACAGTGACACGGTAATAATTCAATAGTATTTTGAATGCTATGTATATCACTAAGCTGTAACATTTTATTTTGTTATTACCAGTGCACAGCCATCATTTCCAAACAAGAAAAGTGGACTTCAAATGTGCTTTTAAAGCACCGTGGAGTGTGAATTATTTTGATATAGAATTAGATGACAAAGCATCTATACCTGAGCTTCAATACAATACACACTGACATTACCAAAAGAAGCACTCATCACAGTATTTCCAACTCAGAGGCAAGCAACTGTCAGAAAACTTAGAAATTTAAACTGGATATATCATAGCAGAATTTCTTCACAAAATAAAAATGGAAAACGCTGCAACCAAAGTAAGTCTCCAAATGACTTGCAAGCCAAGCAAGAAAAGCCATTTACTGTTGGTGAATTGTGTTTGAATGCAGTAGCCAAAGAAATGTGTCCAGAGAAAGCAAACTTTTTAAGACTATTGGCCTTTTGGCAAGAACAACTGTTCAGAGTTGAGAACATTGGGAGCAATATCAATAGTCAAAGTAAATGAGTCCAAGTGGTTCTTTGACATGTGATGCGTTAATAGGTGTTACTAATACTGCTCAGTTCTTATTTACTTGAGGCATCATCGCTGAGTTTCGAGTTATTAAAGAGCTAACCCCTGAATACTCTGCATGGAACAACTATAGATGAATATTTTCAAACAAGTTGAGAAAACACATTCTGTACAACCTGAAGTAGAATCTGCTAAGATGTTATAACCAATGGTAGTAAAAATGTGTGAGGTACAAAAAGACCTAGTGGAGAAATTTACAAAGCTTGTGAAAATGTAAGGTGTTTAAAATGTATGGTTATCACTATCTTCACAAGTGTCTTGCAAAAAATTTTTGAATCTACTGTGTGTTACTGAACCAGTAGTAGTGTTAGTGGTAAACTTCATTTATTTTCATTGACTTTAACCATCTTGAAGTCCTTGAATTTTGTCAGAAATTGAAACTGAATTTCCTGACTTGATCAACCTAAGTTTGATTTGCTTAGCAACTGTAAAGTTTGATTGCAACTTTTGCGTTTAGGGTCAAGGATGAAATTTTCCTTAACAAGAATCACTCTTGAACACTACCGTAGGACACTGAATGACTTTGGAAATTAACTTTTACTAAAGACTTGATAATATTTCTTAAAGATTTCAACCTACAATTACAAGGCAAGCATAACTTTAATGTGAAACATACTGAAGTAGTCATTTCAACAACGGACATTTGAATCAAAATATCCTGTTACACATTGCTCATTTATCAAAAATGAAAACAAGAAACAGGATTTTCGTTCTCACACAAATTAGCAGTGGATATACTTTCAGCATTTTGGGGACCTTGGTGCAAATGCAAAGGAAATTCCCATATTTCAAAATCCATTTAGCTATAATTGAGCTTCTACCTAATCTTCAATTGGAAGTGAATAATGTGCTATGTAATGACATGGTAAAATGCAGAGGTCAAGGGAAGAATCTAATAAGAGTCTTACAAATGCCTTCCAAGTGATGAATATGCTCAGTTAAAATCATATGCTCCGGGATTGATACCAGTATTTGTCAATATCTATCTGTATGAAAATACATTTTTAAAGATGAAATGTGTAAAATTCCATTGCAGATAACCACTAACAGGTGATCATTTACAATTGATTTTGAGGATAGGAAACACTCAGAACCCCAATTAATAGAAATGTTATTTCCAAAAACAGACATTACAAAAATGTATTTAATTATATTTTGAATTTTGTTAGTTAAAAAAATTATGCTAATTTATTTCATTTCTTGTTATATAAGTACCTACTTTTTAATGTCCTCAATTTTGCCTCTTAGCCCACAACGCCTAAAATATTTACTGTCTAGCCCTACAGAAAAAGTTTAAGGAATCCCTGATCTAAATCATTAATTACAAACTCAAATGCCTTCAGAAGCCAGGCAGGTAATATAAATAGATGAAGGCAATAAATGGTAAGTGTAAGGAAGTAATGAATTGGACTTCATTCCTTGTCTAAAGGCTCTTAAAAATTATTTTGAAACTCAACCCAACCTATCCTCTGCAAGACCTTGGGGACTAATTCAGCCAGGGATTGCTAGTTCGGGACTTCTAATTTTCTTACTCTCAGTCCCCTCCAAGTGAGAAGTATGTAGGTAAGGGGTCAGCAAACTTTCTATAAAGGGCCAGACAGTATTAGGCTTTGCAAGCCATAAGGTTTCTGTAGCCTCTCAACTCTGCCATAATAGCCCAAATGCTGCCATAGACAATATGTAGGCAATATTCCCCCAAAAACCCTATTTATGGGCACATTATTTGAATTTCATAAGCTTTTCACATGTTAAAACTATATTAACTTTTTGTCTTTTTTCAACTATTTATATATATAGATAGAGAGAGAGCTGGATTTGGCCAGGGGTTGACAATTTGCCTTCTCCTGATGTAGGTGAAGAGAATTAATTTGCAAGTAGGAATAAAAATTTTTCTAGTACTATACATTGATGTGCTAGGTTATGAATATTAAGTGTGGGTACAAAATGATGTTCTTATTCGTACATATAAAGTGGTAAGATTCCTGCCTCCATTTAGTCACACCTTAACTAGACAAAATATGCAGTATATAGTTGTAAAGAAAACACAATCCTTAAATGCTTCTATTTACATTTTAACTCCTCCCCCTTTTTCCTTCAGAGTGGATACGTAAATGTGTGATTATTTCATTATTTAAATCTAGGCCCACCCTAAACTTTCTGATGTGATACTTGGTAACTAAACTCCATGAATCCACTAGAAAATGACAGCTGGAAAGCTCATTAGATTCAATTTTTTAATTTTGTTAACTTTTTGACAAGTTTTTTGACACCTCAATTTGAAATGATTATCTGACCCACCTGTTGATGGCCTAAAGATAACTTCTAAGAGAAACTTAGGTCAAATATTTATTGAATGAAATTAAGGAAAATTAATAATGCATCCTAACTATGATGTACATGTATTCAAAACCACTAATATCTGCTTAAATGGGAGTGTAGTAGTTAACAGTTAATCATGTTCTACATTAACAAATTTCTTAAAAACTTCTCTCAAGGATATGAATAAGGTTATTTCGTTGATGTCATTTATATCCCATAAAAAACTAGATACTTGATCTATAAAATTCTTGAAGTCTTAAGAAGTTTTCTACCCACACTTGCTTTCACACAGCTGTTGGTTTGTAAGTTTGAGTCTGACAGTCATTTCCAGAGCATGGACTCAGTTTGACCATTTGATTTAATCCAAACTCTGCTCCTTATAGGTTGTATTGACCTTTAGCAAGTTAACGAAGTGTGATAAAAAAATATGGTGAATGTTTAAATTTAAAAAAATTATTATAGTGAAAGACACATTGCCATTAATCCCCCTCAAAATACTCCCTTCGTGCTTCAAACACACTTATCCCATCTTTCTTGACACTTTCTGAAGCCGTTCTGGAAGTCTTCTTTCATGTCTTTAGTTGTGCTGTCGTGGCTGCCTCAAGGTCCTAAATAGATTCAAAACGTTTCTCTTTCTTGGTCATTTGACTTTGGGGAAGAGCCAGAAGTCACATGGTGCCAGATCTGGTGAATAAGGTGAATGAGGACACACTGTAATGTTTTGGGGTTTTTTTTGTTGTTTTGGTTTTTTATTAAGAGAAAACTTAAAAGTTTATTTGAGCTAAACTGACATTTGTCCAGAAGCAAAATCTCAACAGATGGAGTAAATGCCCCCCCACCGTAATGCTTTTATTTGACAGAAATTGCCATACCAGAAGCAGTGTGTGACAGGAAGCGTTGTCATGATGGAGAATGAAGTAAAGACACTCATGAAAAAGGACTTCCAGAACTGCTTCAGAAAGCGGCAAGAACGATGGGATAAGTGTGTTCAAAGCGAGGGGGAGTATTTTGAGGAGGATTGATGGTAATGTGTCTTTTACTGTGATAAATTTTTATTTAAACATTCACCGTATTGTTTGATCCCACCTCGTACTTAAACCCCTTCTATGCCTCAGCTTCTCCATCTGTTACAGCACTGCTGTAAGGATTAGATAATGCACAAAGCATGAAGCTCGGTGCTTGGCACATGCTCAGTGGTTGTTAGCAATTATTTCTGTGCTAGTTAAATGCTGTGTTGTAAAATGTTAAAAGACTTAATTCATGTAGATGAAAGATTTGTACAGCCTTTTGTCCCGGAGAGGCAATCACTGGGAGGGTACAGGATAACCTCATCAACTTAGAATATTTCTATTATTTAGTGAATTGTTGTCATTAGGTTATCTTTCATCATTCCCTTTGACCTAATAGGGTCAGTTAACAACTTCTAAATTTGGCCTATTGAACAAACTATGGCAATAGTAAGGGCAAAATAGTATAAAAGTTTTCTAATTTATTTGCCAAACCAAGTACAGGCAATTCCTACAATATTAAGGTAGGCTCAAAAAGTTTTGAAAGCCTTTGAAATGTTCTACTAATTAGTTAATTCCATTTAAATATAATACATCATACAAGGTACTGAGAACAAGTAATAATGTTTCTTTTTCAATAACTTTGGCAGTTGGGTACAGGTTAACCACAGGGCCAGTGTTCTCACTATTCTTTGAATAGATTATAGATTGTACTTAAAATGCTAATCCCCAATTGGGGAATACTAATAGAATGAGAACTAGGATGCAGCCTGGTAGAGCACCAATAGAACAAGACCTTAAAAAACAAACAAACAAACAAAAACCCTGTGTTCTAATTCTGGCTTTTTACTAACTTGTGTATATGATCGTGGCCTACTCAATTATTCAATGTC